GAGTGAGATCACATGATATTTACCTTTATCCCTCTGACTTATTTCACTTAGCATAATACCCTCAAGGTCCATCCATGTTGTCACAAATGGCCAGATTTCATCATTTCTTATGGCTAAGTAGTATTCCATTGTGTATATATACCACATCTTTTTTATCCATTCGTCCCTTGATGGGCACCTAGGTTGCTTCCAAGTCATGGCTATTGTGAATAATGCTGCAATGAACATAGGGGTGCATGCATCTTTATGCATTTGTGTTTTCAAGTTCTTTGGATAAATATCCAGCAGTGGGACAGCTGGATCATATGGTAGATCTATTCTTAATTTTCTGAGGAATCTCCATACTGCTTTCCATAGTGGCGGCACCAGTTTGCACTGCCACCAGCAGTGTACAAGAGTTCCCTTCTCTCCACATTCTCCCCAACACTTGTTGTTTCCTGTCTTGTTAATTATAGCCATTCTGACTAGAGTGAGATGATATCTCGTGGTTTGGATTTGCGTTTCCCTGATAGCTAATGATGTTGAACATCTTTTCATGTGCCTGTTGACCATCTGTATATCTTCTTTGGAGAAATGTCTGTTCAGATCTTTTGTCCATTTTTCAATTGGGTTGTTGGGTTTTTGGTTGTTGAGTTGTATAAGTTCTTTGTATATTTTGGATATTAACCCCTTATCTGATATATGGTTTGTGAATATCTTCTCTTAAGTGTTAGGTTGTCTTTTCATTTTGTTGATGGTTTCCTTTCCTTTGCAGAAGTTTTTTAGTCTGATGTCATGCCATTTGTTCATTTTTTCTTTTGTTTCCCTTGCTTGGTCAGACATGGTACTTGAAAATATGTTGCTAAGATCAATGTCAAAGAGCATAGTGCCTGTGTTTTCTTCTAGAAGTTTCCTGGTTTGGGGTCTTACATTCAAGTCTTTAATCCATTTTGAGTTGATTTTTGTGCACAGTGTAAGATAATGGTCTACTTTCATTCTTTTGCATGTGGCTGTCCAGTTTTCCCAACACCATTTATTGAAGAGACTCTCCTTTCTCCATTATATGCTCTTGGCTCTCTTGTCGAATATTAGCTGTCCATAAATGTGTGGATTTCTTTCTGGGCTCTCGATTCTTTTCCTTTGATCTGTGTGTCTGTTTTCGTGCCAGTACCATGCTGTTTTGGTTACTATAGCTTTGTAGTATATTTTGAAATCCAGGAGTGTGATACCTCCAGCTTTGTTCTTTTTTCTCAGAAATCCTTTGGTTATTCGGGGTCTTTTGTTGTTCTGTATAAATTTTAGGATTCTTTGTTCTATTTCTGTGAAAAATGTTGTTGGAACTTTATCTGATAGAGATTGCATTGAATCCTTTTGTGTTTTTATCGAGGCTTCCTTAGATGGGCATGATAGATGAAATCATTGGCCTTTGGTGATTGAATACATTCTCTAGCCCCGTCCCCTCCTCACGGGTCAGGGTGGAGGTTAGCAGGTGGGAGGGTGGTAGGACTGAAAGTTCCAGCCCTCTGATCACATAGCTGGCTCCACTGGAAACCAGCCCCCATCCTTAGCTGCTTTCCAAAAGTCACCTCATTAGCATAAACTCAGGAGTGGTTTAAAGGTGCTTGTTATGAATATCAAGACACCTTTACTACAGGAAATTCCAATGGTTTTAGGAGTTCTGTGCCAGGAATGGGGACAAAGACCAAATATATATTTATTATAAATCACAACATTACAGTGGGCCTGAGGGAAGTTTGTAAGAGCAGCATCCTGGATGGTTCAACTGATAGTTCCAGATAATAACAGATCTGGGCTGGCAAATCCCAAATGGGCCTATAAGAAGCCAAGAAGGTTGAGAAAGGAGCTGTGTAGGGCATGTGGTTCTCAGATCGCCCGTGGGAAGCAAAGCCTGAGGAGTGCCTGGAGCCAAAAGGCAGATAAGACCCCAGGACCTGCCCCAACTGCCTACAGGGCCACCCTCTCCAGAAGTTTGATATTTGATTTCAATTTCTTCTAGTTTTACCATGGTTTGAGCTCTTAAATGTTTTAATTTATTTGGAATTTATTGCTATGGACATAAGATGATGCATTATTTTTCCACATTGTTGACCAATGCCAGTGTGATTAAGTAACTATTTCTCTTTCTTACTGATTCTTGATCATGTTTTAAAGCATAAATTAAGTTCTTGTATGTAATAGGATAAATTCCTGTCATTTCTAGCCAGTTCTATTTACGTATCATTTCTTGAATTATTATTATATTAAGTTTTAGGGCTTTATGAGATATTTGACTAGTTTGGTTTCTCCATTACTTCCATTTTTCAGAATACTCTTTGATGTTTTTGCCTGTGTATCTTGCCAGATAATCTCCATATCCATGCTATTAATTTAAAAAATACCTAAACAAGGAGAAGGAATAAAAAAAGAACTAAAAATTTTAAAAGGCTACAGAGATTATGTTTGGGACGCAGCACCTTTACAGTACTTAGCTTTTTAACCCAGAAATGAGGCAGGTCTTTGTAGTTAAGACTTTGGCTAACGTCTTCGGAAACTCTGAAGTTGTCTTTATACTTTTCGAGACTATTTCTGCATTTACATTTTTATTAGTGTTGATCTTGTATTGGTGAGTGAGATCTTTTCTTTCCCTTCGTTGTGCTCTGTAGGAAAGCTACAGTTAGCTTTCCTCATAGCCAATTTATTGCTTCATCTTATTAGTTCCGAGACCCTTTTAATTTATTCATTTGGACTTTTCAGGTATACAACCACATTATGCTTAAGTAACAATAATTTGGTCTCTAATTTCAATATTTACTCTTTTTAAAAATTCATGTCCTATTGCATTAGTTCAGAAATTCCAGAAAATATTAAATAATAGTGGGTTATAACAAGTAACTTTCCTTTATCTCTATTTTAACAGGAATGTTGTTAGTGTTTCACTATTAACATTTATTCTTGGATTCAGCAAGCATGTACTGAGTGCATTCTAAGAGCTGGGTTCTATGCTAGTGCTTGGGATATAAGGTGAAGAGAACACAAGATCCAGCCTCCAAGAACTTAACACTGGTTTGGGGTTTGACACAGGCATTCTGTTTAAGGTCAAATAATTAGTCCAGCCATGTTGTCACCAAGAGCAGAGGCAGCCTTAAGGAGCCAGCCTTCTTATCTATTTTAGGTTTGCGATTAGGATTGGGTAACATATTTACATAGTGTTTTTTTTTTTTTTTTTATGAAGATTAGCCCTGAGCTAACATCTGCTGCCAATCCTCCTCTTTTTGCTGAGGAAGACTGGCCCTGAGCTAACATCTGTGCCCATCTACCTCTACTTTATATGTGGGATGCCTACCACAGCATGGCTTGCTAAGTGGTGCCATGTCTGCACCCAGGATCCGAACCGGTGAACCCCGGGCCACTGAATCAGAACGTGCGAACTTAACCACTGCACCACCGGGTGGGCCCCTACACAGTGCTTTTTTGAGATAATCATGAAATTCACCTCTGTAGGATGCTCATTTTGATCAAACTTAGTTGTTCATGATGGATTATTATCATAGGCTTTTATGAATATTCTTCATCCTAAAGAGCAGCTAACTGCCAACGCCTTTCATGATGTTTGTTTCTCTTAAATGGCTTTAGTATGTGTTTTCCCAAAGCCACTTCCTGGATCATTCCACTTCCCAAGAGGAAGTATCTATGGAGAGAAGATGTCCTTTGGAAAGAAGGTAGGTTGTGAGTGCAGGAAAATCTAGAAGCTGGGGCTCTCAGATACTCTGGTATCTGAGTAAATATCCATACAGTTCTTGTACTTTATGCATACAGCCATTACCTTAATTCAGGAAACTGTAATGTTGTACCTCTTCCCAAGGAAATTCTTTTCATATGTGTTGCTCCAAGAACAGATGAGGTAGCCTCAGTCATGGGGGCAGGGTTGGGATTGTGTCACCTTCAGTCCTGGGCATTGCTGGCTGCTGAAGCCTCCTCCACTCTCTCTTCTCTCTTTCCCCTCTAACAGGTCCCAGATATTCATCTGAGAATCCACTCATGCAGCCCAGGTACTTGGAGGGAAGCTGACCTCTCTCCCAGCTCTAGCTGGGAGCCCCAGCAGGACATTCCCCTTAGTTTGGCAGTACCCGGTTTAAGGCTGTCATGCAACCTCTATGGTATGAGGTGAAGGAAACCAGGATTCTGCTTGGAATGTGGAGAGTGGTGCCTTCTCTCTCCTCTGGACAGTGTGATGTGAGCCTATGTCCTGGGATGGTTCCAGCCATGTCATCACCAAGAACAGAGCCAGCCTTAGGATAAAATTGACCCCAGAAAGCTTAGGGCAGGAAGAATGGAGAAAAGCCCCGGGTCTGAGTTGCTGATTTCAGTCATGCTGAGACCCACCCTCTCTCTGGCCTTGCACACAGTGAGACTTGCCTTCCTTTCTGTCTGACCGGATGAGGTGCATCTTCTGTCATGTGCAATAAGCCACACCCACTCGATAACCAGACATTCTTCCTGTATGCTGTGCTCAGGAACTGCTCAGTCCTGAGACCCTCCACTCTCTGTACCTTGCTGTTCTCAGGGACAGGTAGACACAGAAGCCCTAAGCAGGGAGCACCCTACGCACTTCACATCCCCAGCTGAGCAGAGCAGGCACCTCACTGCTTGGCAAAGTGCAAAGAGAGGGCTCCGAAGAGGAAATAGTGTGTAATTGCCTTAGGTTTTTATAATTTTTCCCTCTCTTTTTCTCTATTTGGAGGCACAGAAATAATGATTCATAAGACAAATGTGTAAAGATACACACTTAAAAAGCCTAGCCTCTTGGCAGAAAGGGCTTGGGGGGTGCAGATGACTGGTGCAGGGAGCTGTGGTGTAACTCAGTGTCACAGCGTGACAGTGTGCAGCTACCATGTCACCTAGCTGTTTCCTTTTTGGTGTCTGAAAGGACTTGCCATGAGGAAGTGTCCTTGGCACTCAGAACATGCTCTGTTAGGTCACAGATTAATAACTCCACACCACAGTGGCAACTGGACACACACTCTTTGTTAAGTGAAGTTGTTTATTGTTAGGATTTTGACAAGCAAGACTCTACACAGGAACCATAATACCCACAAGGCGATCTTTATGAAATGCCTGTGTCAAATTGAATGGTGGAATGAACTTCATGTATGTGTTTTTCTTGAGTTCTCATTTTCAATTTTCTGGGGGAAATGGAGCCCCCGCTCTCCCAAGGTAGCAGAATCGGGAGACAGACTGGGGGGGGGTCTGCTGTTGGGGGCCACATGCTTGCCCCTCTGTCACCTCCCCTCACTGCTGTCCACACCCACCCAGGTTCCTGGTGCTCACACACACATTTACACATGGGGAAAGCAAAGGTCACGCATGTTGTAGAAAACCAATCATACTGCATTTTCTTATAAAATGAGATGAAAAAATAAATCTAAACACACTTTTCAAGTGTCACTCTTCTTTAAACTTTATGTATGTTAAAGTTCTTATTTTTCTTTCCAATATACTCTACTTAGAACTTTTAAAAAGTATACTTTCTTTTTTGGTACCTTTTGTTTCCCGTGTTAGCCTTTGAAACATATAAAATACATCTCACTAGAACTCTTCTGTGCAAATAATAAACCATCTATGTTATAAAAAAGGCCATTTCAAGGTTTTCACAGTGGCTGCTGTCAGCTGCAGTCCCTGGAAGATGCTCCTAGAAGTAGTCCGTGGTCTGCCCGTTTAAGGTCCTGTTCTGGCTGAGGGGCGCTGGGCAAGAATTCGCTGTCCTGCTTGTCCATCTGTAAACTACCTCGGGAGAACTGTAAGACACTTCCCAGCCTGCTGACCAATGAGAGGGAGGAAATCCAGTTGAGTGAGCTGAAGGTAGGCAGGTTGAAGATGGACGACAGGAGGGTTGTCCTACTGGTGCTGGTGGGTTTTCTCTTGGAGTCCCCAGGACACCCTTCCAAGACAGCCTCTTCTGGCATGGAGGACCCTGGGGTCTGACTGCTCAGTCCCGCCAGCAGGGTGTCCTCCCTCAAAGGTACGCCCATGTCCACTGTGCTGGGCTCCCCGCTGGCCTCTGGGGAGCAGGATGGCTGTTGCGTGTGCCAAGACACCGGCAAGGTGCAGTCCTGGGAGAGGGGTCCAGAGGTACTAACGCTCTTCTGTTCCGCCGGTTCAGTTCTCATTTCTCCTGGGAGATGTCCCTGAGCAAAGGTCTCTTTGGGAGCATTGAATTTCTTGGGGGACTTCTTGGTGAACTGGCGTCCCAGCTGAAGTTGGGTGGGGAAAAGGCTCCCCTGCAGGGCTTTGAAAAACAATCTGGAAAGAGCATATAAAAAAGTCAGCTATCGCTGTGGTGGTGTCTTTGAGCTTTCTGAGACTCATACAGCGCAAAAACACAGATTTTAAGATGCTCTCAGAGCTCACTTAGTACTTGAGAGACAACATCCTTGATACCCACCTGGGCAGCAGCGCGGTGACAGACGTTAGGAGACAAGTCAAGTAAAACATGGGGTCGCCCATTAATATTTGCATTGTCCAATAAGGGTTGGACGGAGGATAACAAGTTGCACACGAAGCATTGTAAATCAAAGCCACAGTGAAAAATAGAAGGATACTGAGGCCACAGGCTGTCCAGTTGAGCCAGGTCTGAGGGGGAAAGAGAAAGACAGGGCTTTTATTTCAACAAAAATGCACTGGTCATCCGTGAGTGGGTGTGATGTTCTAAGAGCTTAGTGAAAACGGGGGTCTTGGCATGGGTGACTGGTGGGGCTTGGGGAAGCCTCGGGAACCTGTGGACCACCCTGGACACAGGTGAAGAGATGGAAGTCACGGTGTGAGAGAAAGGAGAGAGGGAAGGGAAGCACGTGGTAGAGGAGGAGGGAAAGAGGACGGGAAGGAACTAAGTGCTGCCAGCAGAAGTGTGGGTCATGGGCTGCAGCAGCTCCCACACCAGGGGCTTGAGCACATGTGGCCAGCCCATGGATCTGTGTTCTTTCCCATTACAGTGAGGCTGGCTTTGTAGTCCCCTGTCTGATTAAAAGCCTTCTAGATCTCATGGAATCTGTATGGAAGAGTGGGACTGGCAGCATCAGCACCCTCTGGACCACGCCTGCCATGCTTACCCATGTCTTGGTTTCAATACCCAGGTGCAGCAGGAAGGTGAACAGTGCGATCGCCGTGATGAGGGTCCCCCAGGTGAACACGTCTGTGTCTGAGTCGTAGTAGGCCTGAAAGATAGCAGTGCTCTGTGCCTGTGGGACGCTGGATGAAGCTGATGGGAAAGGCTGTGCCAGGTGCCAACTTACCAGGTAAGGAACGAAAAAGCACACCAGGCTCTGGAAGGCAGCGTCGGCCATGTTCAACCAGAATGTACGCGGCCGATATTCCTGAGACACAAAAACCAGCACAGAGATTACAGGGAAGTGCTCATCTCTTCAAATATGTTTTTCATCATGCTACAGGCCAGTGACGAACAAGTCATGCACCCCAGGGAAACCTGCTCATTCAGGACTTTGGAGAGGGAGGTCCCAGAGGGCTGGCAAGAAAACACTACACAAATGCCTGCCGAAGCACCTTCAGCTGAGTCACCACTGACAGCATCTGTACCACAAGACAGCCACGGCAGTTCTAGGTCAACAGTAGGAAGATGAAACTGCTAAGTCCTATGAGAGAACATTTCCTTAGAGGAGACACAGAACCTGGAAACCAGGGCATCCTCCTCCAATTTGAGTCCTTCTACTCCTACGTGGTCAGGGTTTTGTCTCCTTTTGTTGGTGGATCCCCTAGAATGTTTCTTAAAAGTGAGGCTTTTAAAATTAGATCATGGATATGTTTTAATGTTAAAATAAAAAAGCTGTATACTAAGGGCAAAAATGACCTTGATAGATGCTGAGTCTTCAGTACCTGGGTGACTAAATTTGTGTGTGAGTTCCTGAGCAGCTGGCCGGTACTGGCCTGCAGAAAATGCACTGCAAACAGACAGAAGGAGAATCTAATGAGCGCCTATGAAAGTCCTGCCTAGGCTCTTCCTGTTGGTCATCTAACCACAGGACAAATGCCCTGAGTCTTGGTCCCACAGCCAGCCGAACAGATGAGGCCTGGCTGAGTAGAGGCGACAGTAACAAGCAGAGGCCTTCCTCACCTGCCTGACCCTCAGTCACCCGCACCCTTGGTGGGAACCCAATGTCAACAGAGATGACCAGGGGAACTCAACTCATAAGTAAATGAACTCTGAATTAGAGTATATTGTAGGAGGTATGGGGCTCCATTCCCTTTGCACACATTTAATAATTCCAATTAGCTTAAGAGAAGCATTTAGCTGGCTTACATTGATGGCTGGCTGAGAATAACTGGTAATTAGCATGTCAATCTATGGCATGCATTGATGCAAACATGTATTTACATCTGTTTGTATTCACTTGTTCTTTCAACAGTTTCCCTAGGGGTTTATCTTCTTGTTAATTCCCATTCAAAATAAATCATATTTTTGGGGGGATTGTTTTAGAAAAACCCCTGCCAGGCTGCAGAGATCCCATGTGACCCTGATGTAGATTCCAAATGGGCTTTCCTTGGGCTTCTAGAGATTCTTGGTGTGGATACAGTTCTCACCTCACTATACACTTTTTTGAATCCTCCTCTCTTTTTTAAGCTTTATTGAGGTAAACTGACATACAAAAACTGCACACATTGAAAGTAAACGACTAGTTGGGTTTGGACACATGCATACACTCACGATACCATCACCACAACCAATCACCTCCCTCGGCTTAATGCCTTGCATAGGCAAGTAGACAGAGTTCATTTTTTTCCTCTTGCTGGTCAGATTCTAGGATTTTAAGAATCTGTCTCAGGGTGTCCATTTAAAGGGAGATGTAGGGACTTGCACTTTCCAGCAGCTGAGCGTGGTGGGTGGGAGGCCCAGGAAACAGGAGGTAGAGGCAGGAGGGAGCCTCACCTCCATGTGCTGGCCACTCCTATAGAGCTGTGGCTCAGTCAGCAGCACATAGGCTGGCACGTCCTTGTCCAGCACCCCAGTCACGAGCTGGGGAAGCGATGAGAAGAGCAGATTAAAGAGGATCAGATACCACTGGTCAATCATGGTGGATGCAGAGAAGCCACAGTAAAACTGGAACCAAAACAGGAGGCCCACGAACATCTGAAATCAAGCCAGAAAGAGGGGAATGAGCAATTCTTCGTTGCCCTTGCAGATTCTCATCCGAGAGATCTAAGGGTTTTGCAGAGTTTGACTATAAAGATCGAATTTATAGGCAGCAGTTTCCTCCAAAGACAGTCCTAACCTTGTTGCCTTCTGTCTCTCCCTCCACCTCCTCCCTGTGCTCTTCTCATTCCCCTCAGTGTGAAGGACTGGTAGCACGAGCTGGGAATTCCCATGATCAGCCCTTGGAGGGATGAGCCGCAGATCATTAATGGAAAACAAAAACGGGTCCAGCAAAGTCTGAAGGCTGCTCACATTTCAAGAGGACCAGCTGAGTACATCACCCATTATGGTTTTTTCCCTAGTATTCCTCCTCTGTGACCCTAAACCAACCTACCTGTGCCATATGCCAGGTCTTTCCTCCCTCTTTAGTTATATACCCTTTTTGCTGAGGAGCAGTGAGCAATTATTGGCTCCCACGGCAGAGAGGACACAAGCATGGCAGCGAAGTCAATGATGATACCAATATTGCTGCCTTGACTAAGCCCTGATATCCACTGGGCACTCTGCTGGCAGATGAGTTACAGGCATTATTGCTGGTTCTTACAGCTACCCTCACTTTGCCAAACAGGAAAGTGAGGTTCAAGGAGTTGAACAGCCTCCTCAAACCCATGCTCAACAGGAGGAGGAGTTGGGTGGATCTCTTCTCACTATTACTAGATCACTGAGTATCAGGGGCCAGAGTGCATTTATATGAGGGGCATGGCAGTTTAGCAACTGCCAAGCATTCTTAGAATTATTAGCTGTGCAACTTGGCACAGATCATGTAACCCCTCTCTGCCTTAGTCTCCTTGTTCATGAAATGGGCATACCAATGATACTTAGCTATGGGGTTGTCATGAGGAGCAAATGAACTAATGCATTTAAAGTACTCACAAGAGATCCTTGCACACTGTAGGCACTCACCTATGGTTTGCTGTTGTTACCATTAGCAGTAAAATTATTTCACTTGAGGCTCAAGCAGCCAGTGTGCTTACCCCATTTAGAGAAAAGGAAATTAGGTGCAAGATATTAAATTATTTGACTATGGTCATTGTATAAGTAATAAGCCAACTTGTTTACTCCTGGACCCTGGCCTGACAGACATGGACAGCCCCAAGAGAAAACACGGTAGACGAACATTCTCTGCTGGGCTCCATAGACAATGGCCTTGGTTTTGTTTCTGCAGTGGCCACAGTCTACCTATCTGACCTTGATTCAATCACTTAACCTCTCTGAGCTTCGGTTTCTTGACCTGGAAATGGCTTGAGATATAACCTATAATGATATAACTTTGATATAATCTATAACCTATAATGACATATTCTCCAGGTCCTGTTTCGGCCTAAGATTTAATGCAACGTTTCCCCTCCACACTGAAAACGGACAAACTTGGATTTTTCATTGACTTTCTTCCCTTTCTCACTCCCACGGCTGACTTTCTCTCACCCACCCCGACAGGCTTAGCCTAATGAATCATCAGTGAGCAAGTGCAGTCAGGAGAACGAGGAGGAAAAGTACTTAGATAATGGAGACTTTTTTTCTTGTACTACCAAAAAGCCTTCTTCCCAAACCACTGTTGCTATGGAAACTTTTCTTCTCTGTTCTTTATTGGAAAGGAAGGCCAACTTATTCCTAAAATTAATGACTTTCTTACTTTGGGAGGCAGAGTGATCATCCTTGAACTCCTCAAATAGATTAAGTGCTTGTTAACAGTGGCCCTGCATTTTTTAAGGAATAAAAATAAGCACCTCCTTCTTTCTGTCCTCTCCGTTAGCTCAGATTCATCTGGTGGGCAGGAGGCTCTGCCCACTCCAGGTGGCCACTCTGGCCCTTGTTTGCAACTGAAATGTTGAATGCCTTCCCCTCAGTCTGAGAAATTTTCATTAGGAATTATGAGGAGCAAAGCTCAATTCCCAATGTTGTTGTTTCAGATAAAACAAAATCCATAGAAGGCAAATAACTTGCTTAAGAGCGCACAGCTAACGAATGACAGAAACAGGGATAAGATTCTGCCCCGACCAACCCCACTCACCCTTACTCAAGGCACCTGTCCACCCCTTTGGGAGCTGGGAACCTCTAGGTTTGCAATTGTGTGCATAGGGCCTCAGTGCTGGGGATGCAATGCCAGGTGGTCAGAAGTGAGGGGGAGTGATCAGCAAGGACAGGGGCAGCGCAGCCCTGCCTCGCTTGGATACAGTCCCAGGCAGAATCTAATCTGAATTAATTTCCAGAACTCAACCTATCAAATCAGACAGGCCCTGATTGGTCCTGAGCATTTGTATTCATTTGCTAGAAGACATTTCAAAAAATGGTGAGAGTGAGGGGGCAGGAGAGGATGGAAAAAGAAAGGTAGGTCTAAATCTCCAGAGCAAACAATTAAGAACATGAGCAAGAAGTGTACTGATGGCAGCTGAGAGTTAGCATGGAGATTTTAAATGGAATTACATAAAAAAATAATAAAATAAAAAATATATCTTTTAACGTATTTTATTCTTTTTCAGAAGAGTACAGGATGATCTTCGCTGTGGTATCCAACGTGGTAGATTTATGGGACTACTCTGGAAGGTCACTGATGCCAAGAGTTTACTTATTTTGTCTCCTTGTTTGTACATTCAACCACAAGCTATCAGAGGCAAGGGCAACAAGCCCAGGAACTTCTCAGCAGAATGTCCACACCTCACTTACAAGTAGGGCAAGTTCTGAAGTGGCCATGCTGTCCATCAGGGAGAGGTATGGAGAAAGACTCCTGTCTTCCAAGTACTTAGTAACGAAGGAACTAAGAGTCAAATGTGAGGATCCATGTGAAATGGACCAGAGCCCTGGATCAGAGCCCCTGGAGAGACAGAACTGTCCTCAGCCAATCAGGCCTGGACCTGACCTGACTGAAGGGGCAACTCCAGACAGAGCTGGCCAGAAGGGGCGCATGTATCCTGAGAGCACAGGAGAGACTGTGGCCAGGTCCTGTTGGCGGTTCCCTTCCTGCCAGGCCCAAGCCTACACCTTGACCTGGGACTCGCTTGCATGGCCTGTTGTGGGTGTGTCCAGAGGGAGGCCATTCAATATCGAGATCATAGTGTGACAACGTGCTCCTATTCTGACTCCAGGGCTGCCAATCACACACCTACTTATCATTTCATTTCCCTGGCCACTCTAGAGAAAGCAGTGATTGGAGGGCTTCTATCTGTGGACACCTCAGCAATCTGCTCCTGAGAAACACGTTAACACAATGGTTAAGAGCTTAGGGGTTGGACTGGATGGACGGGGGTTAAACGTGGCCTTGACTGCTGACTACCTGTGTGACCTTGTGCAGACCACTAGACTCATGATCACTCTACTTTTCGTTCTAAAGCACTAAGTGGATGTTCTTGTTTGATCTACCTGTTTCCACAACCTTCTCCCTTAGAGGAGCAGCTACCCTTAAGAGCCTGTGAGCTAGACATCTGAGCCTACAGGGTGCAAGGCAAGGCCAGGCCAGGCCTGGGGTAAATGCACAAAGGCCAACCAATGGGAAGCCGTGAGGTGGCCCGCTGGCTGCATTTGGGTGATAGTCCTATGAATCTCAGGTTAGGCCTTTTGATTCAAAAACCCTAAAGACTGGTGGTGTCAAATACCTACTGTGTTTTTGTAGAAGAAATACAGCACCATGTTGGCAAGTCGGGAATAGCACCAATGTCCGTGAACAATTAAGAGTCTCTGGAGGTATCGGAATCTCGGCACTGCAAAGTCGCTGGCCATCACTGCCTTGAAATGGAGAGGAGTTCTCATTATTGGTGATGTCTCACTCCGCCTCATGTCTGTCTTATCTCCCCCGAATTCAAGGTAGAACATGGATGGAGAAATCCAGTTTGGAACACGGTGTGCAGGTGACTGCCAAGGCTCGCTTTACCATTGTTTCCCTTATTATCTCCTTCAAATAAAAAAATTCAGTCTCGACAAGCACTCTAGTTCAGGGATATCACCTTATAGGACTCATTTAAGATTTCCAATACATGTAATTGATTGATTTTTAAAAGTGTTTGCTTTGTCTTTCCCATGCTTTCTTTCATAAGCCAAAAAAAAAAAAAGCGGAGATGAGCACAGTTTCCCTGCTTTTCTCTGCCCTCTGATATTTTATTCATCTAAAACATATTAGGATCTCAACCCAAAGATGAACCAAAGCTGTCCCTTTTGTACATGTCACAGACAGATGGTCAGCTGTCCTATGAGGTGCATTTTGGGTCATTCTCCTCAGGAGTCAGAGGCGATAAGAGAGGCAAGGCCCATGGCTCCACTGATATCCTCGTAACCCAGTCCCAGGACGGCCAGTGCGGGGCACTGGACGTCGACAGGAGGGAGTGGGGACAGCAGGCTGCCCCTGTCAGCAGGAAAGATGTGTTGGGGCAGGAGCTCCCCTTCGCTTCCTTGGGCACAGTGCTCTGCACAAGTAAGCTAACCAGGCCAGACCAATGACATCAAAACGACACCTTTTGTGCCCAGAAAAACTTGGAACATACCATATAATGAATTTCTCTATTTGGAAAAAAAAATCAAAGAAAATGTCAGGAAAAGACAGATTTACACTTATCTTTGGAGGGTTATTCCATACAAAAATGTAAGTCTGCTTTTAAAATTTAACTAATTTCCCTACATTCAAATAACACCCAGAAAAGAGCACAGCACACTTGAGGTATTCCTTTCTGTGAAAGAGAGTAACGTCTTTAATACATGGCAGACGTTTGAAGCCTCAGAACTTCTGCTTTTTGAACTGAAGGATTTAAAAGAAAATACTGTCTCTATACTTCTTCCTGTTAACACATAGGGGTTTGAAGGGCTTTGTGCATTCCTTAATTTATTATTCACCATTTATTGCATTATTTATTTCATTTGTTTCATTATTCATCCTCTCAAAAATCATTTATTAAGACCCTTCTATTGCCAGACTTGGACCCATGAGACAGGGTCCCTTCCTCAACAGAGTTAGTCTAAAAATTCAGCCGAAGGGATGGTTGTCAGAAAGAAGTTAAAGAGAGGAATGCGAGGTAGACCCCTAGACTGTCTTTGAAGAAGCTCCAGCCCTTGGGAACTGCAGATGAACCCCTCCTACCAGGCCGTGCCTGCCTCTCCAGCCTTCTGCCACTCCTTCCCACATCCAAATCTAGGTCCTAAACCCAATGCTTGCCCTTCTGTCAAGGTGGCCTTCCCAAATGCTTCCAGCCAGGTTAGACCCTCCTGTGAAATATCCAGCACAGAAAATAGTGTTTCTCTTTCATAGCACTTATTACAAATTAGGACTATTTGTGTACATTTAAAAAATGTCTTCCAAGGATGAGCCATAAACAGCCAGAGAGAAGGCAATGACTCACATTGCCTTTCTCTGCTTCACTTACTCCACGAAAATATACTTATAGACATAGGCAGACATATTTACTGCACATTGCTTCATAAATAGGAAGCTTCTACTTCTTATCTTCTACTTATTCTACTTATTCTTCTACCTTATCTTCTACTATTGGCTTAGCAGAAGGCGAGTATCAGTTGTATTGAAGGCCAAACCTTTAGCTTTGTCAGACAGAGCCAACAGGAAAGCCAGGACAGATTGTGGCGTGACAGGACAAGGGGCCAGTGAAGGCCAAGTGGCCACACAGGACAGCCCTGATTGGTCTTTACCTGCATGCCCTCCTGGCCTGAGATTCCCACACCCACATCTGCCACCTGGATCATGCTGACATCATTGGCTCCGTCTCCTAGAAACAGCACAGGCAGGAAGAATCGTTTAAGTTGAGATGCACAGGATCAGATCCTGTTGGGTTGATGGGTCTTTACAGGGACCGAGTCCTGTGAAAGGGTCATGGGCAGAGCGAAGAAAAGGCACTGCAGTGTCTGCCCTGAGAGAACTGAGTGAAGCTGTCAGAACATGGTGTGAGGTCTGGAACTACCAGCCACACTAGGAGATGTTGGAAAGGAGGCTGGAGTTATCCCTTTTTATTTAGTATTCACTCTACATCATTGGCTCATACACCAACAGAGCCCTTAACACAGTGTCTGGGACAATGAAAGATGCTATCATCACCTTCATCATTATTATTTACTGAACTACCCTGGTCTTTATCTCATGTACAGCACATTAGTCACAGCTATTCCAATTCATACTTACAGGAGCAGTTTTCTAAACTGAGAGAGGAGGCTAAATTCTGCCCCGCAAACAGAAGAGTTCTTTCTGCACCTTATTACCAGCTAGCTTATTAGCGACTATGCTCACCTGTGGGCTCTCTGAGGGGGCAATAAAGGAGAACTTCTATTTATTCAGTCAAACTGCCAATAGAAACGTGTAGGAACACAGGGCATAGGTCAGAGCTCTCGACACCTTTGGGGAAAGGCAAGCAGAGACTTAAAGTCATTGTTACTCAGTGATAGTGACCATTCTTGGAAGGGGGCAGCAGAAAGGGCCAAAGCATGGAGAATCTCTCAAGCTGCAAAAATCCAAAAGCACAGTTAAAGTCAGAGTAGCTCATAACATGCCTACAGGATGGCTCTCTTCTGTGATTTTTCCGTTCTTTATTGCACTGAGTCCAACACCAGCGATCAGTCAGTATTTGTTGAACTGAAATTCTGTGAAGCAATAGCAGTCTCTACAGTTCTTCCCAGAATGTCCCATTCACAATGAGACACGGCAGCCTCCTCTGTTCTCTGTATCATAAACCACTGGATGCCTGGGAATGGATCACATCAGTGTTCTAACTCATGGTCAAAGAAACGAGCTAAAGTTCTGAGGGGTCATTTCTTTCCCTTTCCCTTTTGAGATTCTATTTGTTTCTTCTTTTCTTTGTAACCAGCCAAAGCTTCATCTCCATTTTCTTAAATGAACACCACACATCAGTGATTCAGTGGCTGAGCCAGGCACTGACCAAGCTGTGACAATGTGGTTTATCAATCACATCTTAAACCAGCCTTACCAGGGGGACACGGATCCTCATGTCACCACTTAGGACAGGAACTCAGAGGAGCAAGGTTGGCGGTGAGCATGCAGACATGCAGACCCAGCCTGAAGACTCCTTAGCTCCTGCCTCCAACACTTGCCCAGGGAGACCAGAAGGCCCTCCAGGCACATGAGGGCAAAGGTGGTCCTGAGGCAGCTTCCCTCAGGAGGGCCCCACCCCCGGAAGAGCTGCCTGTCTTCCCTCAGCCTGAACCAGGGGACCACAACTGAATATGTGCTCACATCTGTGCCAATCTCACTCCCCTCCATGGCCCTCAGGATTTGCAGAGCTGTCTCCATGATGATCACATTAAGGCCACCAGACCTCGGACCCAGGTTCTACACTGGCCTCAACTCTGTCCTGATGAGGTGTCCCATGTGCCAGGGTGACAATCCTCACATCAACAAGTAGGGGCTGTCACAGACCTTTTGCAGAAAATACTGTAATTATTACTGATTGGTGAGGATGTTTTATTTCAGAGCCAACTCTCACCTGGGTGTGGCTTTTATATGCAGGCAGACCAAACTTTATAGCTGGGGATCATGGGGATTACCCTTTCCTCAGGCTACCTGCAGCCTTTCCTGGTTCTCACCAGCATGTGGCACTGCTGAGTCCCTGAACCTGGCTGGAGAAGACTTGACCCAGCTGTGGGTGGGATGATGCCTTGCAGGGGCAGGTCAGCACCATGTAGCACTGGAGAGGAACCCAGAAGGCTCTCCAGGCCAACAGTCTGCATGGAAAAAACACCATCAAACACACAGTCGTTAAGGAAATGGCATAACATTCAGCAACTATTCATATCTTAGGATGGATTTATTTAATTAGATGCTTGTCTTGGAACAATGAGCAAAGTAAAGCTGACAAGAGGCAATGGGAATTCTGATCACCAATCAAATCTGTGGATCCTTATGGCATTAAGAAGCCTTAGACTCCAGGTGGCTCATGGTGACCAGAAGAACTCGCAAAGGGCCTTCTTTCTATGCTGGCCTGGGATAATGCTTTGTGTGCAAGACTCTGCTATCGCTGTGGCTGTCTGGGATGGGCAGTTCTCTAGTCTCCTGTCTCCCAGGAAACAGTAAAAGCTCCATCTTCTTAAACCACGTTGTATTACTGACCTCCTAGTAAGTAGCTATAACTGTTGTTAATCTATTTTGTGGCTTTCACATCTAAGCTTTATATTTGGAACAGGCTGCCTGTTTCATTGCACTGGGTATGATTTTGTGAGTAGAAAAAAAAGCAAGGAATCATTTTCCCATTTTATAGTATAGCATGGAAGGGGTAGGAAATTCAGGATGCATCAAGAGGAAGCAGCTGCAAGAGATGGGGGCTGCTCATTCACACACAGACTCATCAGGTCAGCCTCGATACTTGCCTATGGCCAGAGTCATGGCCTTGAGCTTGCTTCTGACCAGCTTCACCACCATGCTCTTCTGCAGGGGTGTCGACCGACAGCAAAGGACTGACCGGCACTGCTTAGCGAGGAAAAGAAATTTATCCTCTAGATTTTTCTCAAGGGCATAGGCCAGACTTCTCCCATCAATCACAAGGCTTGGGCTGGGGTCAGAAGTGGTAGACGTGGAGGGGGCGCCGAGAGGGGAGAATCCCACGCTCATGTTGTCCATAGTCTTCTCAGGAGTGCTGCAGGGGCTTGTGGACCGCACGTAGTGTAGGCACTGGTCCAGCAGGGCTGCGCATGCCTCCTAAAATGGACATGAGAGGACCGTGCAGTTCACTTGGCTGCATGCAGACCAGGTGACCCTCCCCACACATCTGGGTCTGACATTGTCCAGGGCATCAGGCTGCAGGTTCTGCCCAGAAGGCCTCCCTCCAGAAACTGGGAAGTTAGTTGAAGAGGATGACTTTCCACAGAGAAGAGAACGAGCTGGTCTAGGGTTTCTATAAGATTTTCCTTTATTTCCCATTATACCCTGTAGAGGTTGAAAGAGAATGCCTTCACTTTGGGAGGCCTAACAATTTTGTGGCTAGATTGCTCGCTGATTAGGCAGAAGGGGCCTCACATGTACTTCTCCATAGTTCTCTGAGGTCCTCATTCAGCCCCTGAAGAAGTGTAATCATCAATGTCTCTCTAAGCTCTCCAGCTGACCAGGAAAATGACGTAAAAAAAAAAAAAGCATAATTACTAAGCCTTTTAATTGGCAATGCTCTTCCAAAACTCTATCTGAATTCCAGAAAGAAGAGGAAAACTTATGGAAGAATCTGCAGGTCAGGGGACAGAGACATCGGAAGGACAGCTGCTGTTCCAGGAACAGACCCACTCTGGGGAACTCAAATAGTTCCTGGTCCTCCATGGGCAGTGAGCCCACCGAGTTAGTGACCAGTTTCCTACAGAGTATGGAAATCAAGCTGTGTCCAACAACTTCTTACTAAGGACCTTTTATATTTAGGAAAGTGAGGGAGACCAGAGAAAAGAGGATTGGAGAAGACAGTTAGCAGCCTTGGGGCGATAGGCAGGCAGCCAGACATGCAAACACACATAGTCACACACACTCATGACCACAGCAAGTCGCAGATCAGAAGGTGAAAAGTGTTACTGGATACAGACAGGGAAAGATTTGCTTCCAGCGTGGGGTTGAGAGTGGTAGCAATTGGGGAAGGCTTTGAAGAGAATGTGGGACCTCAACATAGCAATCCCTGAGTTCCCTGGTCCTAGCACAGAGCACTGACAAGGTAAGATGGAGCAAGCACACACCACCCTGTCTCCCTCACTGATGCAGTGATGGCACCTGGACAGAATTCACAGAGCACTTATTCAAGGACTCTGGAAGGAAGGAAGTAGTAGCTGTTGGATTAGGGAAGAAAACCAGCATTCCAAGCACAATGACCAGGTGGCTGAGTTTTCCATTTTCACTCTGGCAGCCTCTGGTCTGGCCCCTCATAGAACCTGAGAGTGGGTACCAATGCAGGGACAGAGGGAGCTCCAGGAGAAGCCCTGCGGGTCTGGTTGAGGAATGGAAAAAGGAAGTCCCCATGCTCAGAGAAGATAGAAGAAATTTCATTTTAATTTATTTTTCTCTATTCTCTTGACCCTAGCCCCAGGCAATTTTCCCATGGTGGCAGTGGAAAGAACAGCAGTGGCAACAGGACTGTCTGTGCTGAAGATTCTGAGGGAGATGGACATTCTCTTCTGTCCGTGAAGCTGTGGTCCCACAATGGCAGGATAACTGTTGCCTTCCTTCTTTCTGTTCAACCCTCACTTGGCCCTGGAGGTAGATGTCAGTGCAAAGTACAAAGCAGAAAAAGGTCACTCAAACCCCAGCTTCCTTGACATAGGACTGAAAAGGGGAGTCCCAGAGAATGGGAAAGTACTGGAAAGACTGTGAAGAGGGAGGAGCTTGGCTAACTGGCCCCATGATGTGGTTTATTAATTCCTGCGCTCACCCACAAGCTGTGCACTCATGGACATAATCCTAAACAGCATAACAAAGACTTTTCACAATTGAACTCTGGGGTACATTGTTACTCAAATTGCAAACTGACCTCAGGGTGGCAAAAATGTGAGACAGATTCTAACAGCTGGGCAAAGGCTGAACAAAACTGACACTGAAACCAACACAGAGGCTGTTGAGAGCAGGCAGCCTGAACTCAAGAGGGTTGATCACCTGTGTAAAAAAAATCCACATTCTTCACAGAATTAAAAAATGACCAGAATGTCATTCAAAATGCCCACAATATAACCCAAAATTTATCAGCACACAAATAACCTCAATGTATGTGGAAAAAGACAATCAACAGAAGCCAATGCCAAGATGACACAGATAGTGGAATTATTTGGCAAAGGCTCTGAAGAAGCCTTATTCTCCAAGAGGTAAGAGTGGGCATTCTGGAAATGAATGGAAAGGAAGTCTCAGGAAAAATATAGGAGATATAAAGAAGAACCAAATAGAAATTTAAAAAACAAAAACACATTAACCAAGATAAAAAGCTCACTGGATTCTAAATAATTTATGTAGATACTCTGCCCTCAAGGAGGGAGACTACAACTCCACATTCCTTAAGTGTGAGCTATACACAGTGACCTCCTTCCAAAGAGTACAGTATAGAAAGGGGTGAAAGAATTAGTTTACAGTGGAGAAACCTGACAAATATAACATTAACAATGATAAGTCATGTTGATATGATGTACCGTTGATATCATGTGATGAAATGATGAAAATGGCATTTTGTCTGTGGCCTTCTTCCCCTAAACCCACTGCCCTACTCATGAGAAAAACATGAGACAAATTCCAATATCAGGGCATTCTACAGAATACCTGACCAGTACTCCTCAAAACTGTCAAGGTCATCAAAAACAAAGAAAGTTTGAGAAATTGTTGAATCCAAAAGAGCCTAAGGAGACACAATGACCAAATGCAATGTGGTATTCTGGATGAGATGCTGGAACACAGAAAGAACATTAAGTAAAAATTAAGGCAATCTAAATATAGAATGGATTTTAATAAGTAATAATTTACAGATGTTAATAATAGGAAACATTGAGTGTGGATTACATGGAAACTCTCAGCACTGTCTTCACAATTTTTCCTTAAATCTAAAACTGTTCTACATATATCAAGTTTATTTAAAAAAAAAAAACTCACTAAATAGGATCAACAGCAAAATAAAGATAACGAAAGAAAAAGTCAGTGACTTCAAAGAGAGATCAATAGAAATTATCCAATTTGAATAAGAAAGAAAAAAATTGAAAAAATGAAGAGAGCATCAGGGATCTTTGAGACAATACCAGAAGGCCTAACATTCACGTTGTCAATCTAACGAAGAAGAGAACATGTGGTGCAGAAAATGTGTTTGAAGAAATGATGGCTGAAAACTTACTGAATTTAATGAAAGACATAACCCCACAGATTCAAGAAGCTTAGCAAATCCCAGAGTATAAATCTAAAGAAATCCATGCCAAAACAGTCATAATCAAACTGATTAAAACTAAAGACAAAAAAAATGCTCAAAAACAGCAAGAGAAAATGATTCACTAGTCACAGGGTAACGATGATTCAGATACTGTTGATTTCTCACTAGAAACCGTGGTGAAATAAAGACATTCTCTGTTGAAGATAAGTAAGAGAACTTGTTGGTAGGAGACCTACTTGAAGGGAAGTGATAAAGGAAGCTCTTTCAACAAAAGGAAAATTATGCTGCAAGGCAACCTGGAAATCAGGAATTAAAGAAGAGCAACAGAAATTGTAAATATTTATGTAAATATAATGGACTGTTCTTTTCCTCTTGAATTCTTTAAAATAGGCTTTTTGATTGAAAGCAAAAATTATAATATTATCTGACGAGGATTTCAACGTTTGTAGCTATAATATATGACACCTACATCATAAGGGGAAGAGAAGACAGACATATGCAGTGACAAGATTTCTTCATTCCACTTGAAGTGACAAACGACTGATTCAAAGTAGACTGAGAATTTAAGTATGCACATTAATCTCTAGAAAAAACACTAAAAAACTTAAGTGATGTTGAAGAAACACAATAGACAAATTAAAATAAAATACTAAAAAATGTTCAAATAACCCAAAAGAAGATCAGAAAGGGAACGGAGAAACCAAAAACAGAGAATAATAAGAAAACAAAAAATAAAATGGTAGAACTGAATACAAACATATTGATAATTAGACTAAATGTAAATGATCTAAGCATATCCATTAAAAGGGACTGTCAGAATGCATTCAAACATGATCTACCTGCCAAAAAAACCCTTATTTTGAATGTAATGCTATAGGTAGATTAAAAACTAAAGGATGGAAAAAGATACACTATGCAAATACAAATCAAAATAACTGAGTGACTGTGTTGGGGCAGAGAGTAACTATTTTAGGATTTGCAGGTCATTCGGTCTCTGTTGCAACTACTCAACATTGCCATTATAACGTGAAAATAGCCAATGATTGTACATAAGATCAAAGGCAAGGCTGTGTTTGAACAAAACCTATTTATAGAAATAGGTGATGGGCTGGATTTGGCCCATAGGTCACAGATTGCTGAACCCTATTATATAAGAATTAACCATACCATCTACAAACTGGATCTAACTGATCCACCAGCCAACAACAAAGCAGAATACACCTTCTTCTCAGGTGCGCGTGAACATTCACCAAGACAGACCACACCCTGGGCCATTAAAAAAATTAACAAATTTAAAAGAATTAAAATCATAAAAAGCATATTCTATGACCATAATGAAATTAAAACAGAAATCAATAACAGAAAGACAACAGGAAAATCTCCAAACACGTGGAAATTAAACAAAACACTACCAATTTTAAGACATAATAAAACCACAGTACACCATAGTATTGGTGAAGGGATAGACACATAGATCAATGGAACAGAACAGAAAGTCTATAAATAGATCCACACAAATAGAACCAATTGATTTTCAACAAAAGTGTAAAGACAATTCAATGGAAAAAAGACTTTCAACAAAAGGTGGTGGACTAATTGGACAGCTACATGTAGAAAAGTGAAGTTTGACTTAAACCTCACACCTTACACAAAATTCTACACAAAACAGATTGTGTCTAAAGGTGAGATATTAACCCAAAAAATTTAGGAGAACATATAGGAAACATATTTGTGGTTAGGCACATCTTAGATCTGACTACCTAAAGGATGATCCATAAAAGAAAAAGTTGATGAATCAGACATCATCATCCAGCTTGAGGAGACGCTTCAAGTGGGAGCTCACTGGAGGAATCAGAGCCCAGACCAGGATTTTACGAGAGGTAGGTACTCCCTACATACTGGGGGATTTAATTAGATAATGTGACTGGATGAAAACCTTCAGTGCCCATTGGGCCATCCATGAGACAGCCTACATTGTTGTGAGGACTTTGATGTGTCCTGAGCTTCCAGGTGATCTCATGAAAAAAATTTCTGATACTGTTGACATGGATACTTTATCAGGAAAAAGCAGGTTGAATTTTGCAATAATAAAGCCCAGATGTGTGTTCTTTGAAAGAAATCTAAGAAATTCCAGCAAATTCCGCACCCTCCAAGGCAACAATGAGCATGTTCTAAGTGCCAGAAACATAACACAGAGGTGCAAACAGAGAGGCAGAGGGAAAAGGCCCACCTCACAGTGGATGCCAGAAACGGAGGCTCCCTGGTGGCCTTCCCACAGAGCTCTGCTGTGGGTGCTGGCCAGGCACGTGGCTGCCTCAGGCAGAGCAGGGCCTCCTCCCAATCCACCTACCCGGGATTCAGCATTCAGGGTGATGATGTCCTCATCATGGTCCAGAAGTTTGCAGGCGTACGCAATGTTAATGGCTGTTTCTTGTTTGTCACCGGTGAGAACCCAAATCTGAAGTCCTGCTTGACGCAATTTAGTAATGGTTTCGGGGACTCCATCCTGTAGGCGGTCTTCAATCCCAGTGGCACCTGGTCAAGTGTACAACAGCGTGGGTGAGCCCACTCCTCACGTGCCCCCAGACCCTGATGGGGTGTGGATGCCATATACCAATACACCAAAGATGTCCGCATGGCCCTGTAGACTGGGATCTGCTTGAGATCTGACTCATTTGGAAGCACTCTTTGATGACTCATCATTTCAGGACAGTGGTGGACACTTACAACACCTTTCTTGACTTGACACAATCGAGGATGCATAGGAAGAACTGGGAGGCACTGAACAGACTTCCTTGTACCTACAACAAAGCACCTTCAATGCTTTCTAACTTTTAACTTTATAGATAACTTGGAAACAAAGCTTGTGGGGAAATGGTGGCAATGACCACATTCTGAGGGATGGAAAAGTTTTAAGAATTACCCATCCCACATAAAGCTTCTGGTGAATGACATCCACAATGTTTGCTCTCAGCGATGCTCGAAACAGACTGCACAGGCCCATTATTACTTGAAAGCAACATTATTTTGAATGTACTTTCCCCACAAATACAACGAATAAGAGGCGAGTTTTCCATTTAGGTCTCAGGATATTGGTAAAAATATACCACTCAGTGGGAAATGTGCTCTCTAGGCCAGCCTCAGTGTTTTCCTCTGTTTCCAACTTGGTGAGATGGTCTCTACCTTCCCTCTAGAGGTGTGTCATTGACTGAAGGCTCCTCATCAGCCCTGCCTTTCTCTTTTATGCCAAGCTGTTCCCTGTGCTGGGACGTGGCTATGAATGTGTCCCCTCCAAATTCATAGACTGAAGCCCTAATTCCCAATGTGACGGTATTAGGAAGTGGAGCCTTTGGGAAGAGATTATGTTATGAGGGTGGAGCCCCCACGAATGAGATTAGTGTCCTTATAAGAAAAGACACAAGAGAGATGATCTCTCTCCACCATGCAAGGATACAAAAGGAAGACAGCAATCTGCAAACAAAGAAGAAGTTCTTTATCAGGAACCAAACTGGCCAGTACCTTGATTTAAGACTTCCAGACTCGAGAATTGTGAGAAACGAATGCCTGTTGTTTAAGGCACCCAGTCTGTGGTATTTCACTATAGCAGCCCGAAATGACTGAGAAAAGCCCATTCCCTTTCTCCTCCTAGAAAGGACCAGATGGCAGGCACAAGGAGGATGGAGTCAAGGTATAACACATGTACAAAAAGTGCCCATTTCCTAAATGATACCCTTCATTGTGCTTTCACAAATCACACATACGTGTAACCAAGGTCAGGATAAAGAGCTCCTCAGAAGCCACCTTCAGGGGCAAGTGTCTTCTGTCTTCCACCTCATGCACCCTGTGTGGTGTGTTGGACCTGGGCCTACCTCCCACTTGAAGAATGCACCAGAATGTTAAGTGGGACCTTGAGAAGGACCCAGAAAGGAGGAGGGGATATCGTACCCCAGCTGCCCTCTGCTCTGAACCATGGAGTCCCCATGGGACGGACCAGGCAGAGGTGTGGGGTTCGAGGTCTACTTAGGAATGAGACCGCATTATGGTCCATGCTCACTGTGAACACCTCCCTGACCACTCAGGCACCAGGAGGCCATCTGGTCTTGGCCTCTCCACTCTCGCAGCCCTCTGGCTCTAGCACGAGGAAGAGTGTGTGCCTGGTCTCTGACTCCCTATCTTCACCATCCAACAGAGTCGTCATTGTTCAGCGCATCCTAAGTGTCATTTCTTCTGTGACATGTTCCCTGACATCTGGTGAAAGAGGGTAGGATGATCAGGCCTGCTTCCATGTGTTCATAGTGCCTTGTTCATACTTAATGCTAATAATAATGATTATGGAATAATCACAATGACAGCTAACTTTGATGGATTGCTATCTGCCAGATAAAAATTTGGGCAGCATCCCTAACATCTGAGTACTACAATTATCCCCATGATACAGACGTGGAAAGCAAAGGTGAGGGAGGTGAGCCTGCAAGGAAAGGGCCAGGATTCCAGGCACAGTATGTCTAATGTCCCAAACCTCTGAACCGCACGTCTGCTCTGGGATAATTCTTCCATGATGGTGTGGTGATTCGTGTATAACTCATTCAATTGTCACCCTTCATTAGACAGCAACTTCCTACAGAAGAGACCGTGTCTCCTGTCTCTGTATCTTGGCCACTCAGCCAGGGCCCCTTGGTAAATGCCCACCAAGAAAGAAAGCAGGGAAGGCCTCACAGATGAATTCAAGGGCAGAGGGAGTTTGCCCCTTTATGGAAGACCTAACACCTTGAAAATATAACTTATTTATTTCAGGACTTAATTGGCCAAAGTAACGGGCCCCCCACTGGGTCACTCAACTGACCCTCACCTATATAAAGTGCAGCTTTGAATCAAACACAGAATATTATTGATATTAGAAACAGAGTTAGGGAAAGTATGTTTGTCTCAGCATGAAATATGGCTGAGGATAAAGAGTAAATACGAGGGAACAGTCCTTTTAAAATGATCTGGAAGCACAGCATCTTTCTCCAGCTCTCCAAGGTAGCTGTTGTTAATATAATGTATGTGACTTTGAGTAAATGCCACCTTCTTTACAACCTGATCCTCGGGAGAACCTGGCAGTTTGGGTATTATAACAAGGGTGCAAGCTAGTGCCTCCAGGCCTCCCTGTGCTCAGATATAGGCAGCTGTTAATGGGAGGGCAAAGCTTTCACCAACTGAGGAGTTTCAGATGACACTTGGAGAAACTAGCAAGAGTGCGGAGGAAAGTGAGCAGAACATTGTCCTTTGAATTTAGGTTCTTGGCCAGAACATTATGGAAAATAACATTTCAAGAACACAGCATGAATGATAGTCTTTCCTTTGTGGTTCTCTGATGTTATTGAACATGAGAACCTAAATGAAAAGATCTAGAAAGGGGTATTTGGCTTTGGGATATTAAAAATAGAAACAGCTTACTTCACATTTCTCAGAAATGAATCTGAGGAGCTGGGACACAGTGCCAGTGGATAAAGCTGTAGGGAGCATGGTGGTGGTGGCTCTCCTGTTTTCCAGCTCAGGCCTCATCCTGAACCATAAATATCCCAGGCTGCAGGAGATGGTATGTGTTTAACAACCAGCTTGCAGGAAGAGGCTGTCTGATGCACTTGCCCCTTTCTGTGATGGAAATACCCTCACCTTGGCTTGGATTTCAAGCTAGCAACATAGCGTCAAAGGCTATGCAACGTTCCTGAAAATTCATGCAACACAGCAAACAGTGATTGCAAAATTTCCAAAAATTTATCAACAGGGTCTCACCAACAGGCATGAGCAGGCCCCAGTACACTGCTGGTGCCCACTATGGACAGTCCAGTGGTTCCTATTTTTTTTTTAAAGTAGCACTTTCTTTTTTGTTTTTTTAAATGAAGATTGGCCCTGTTCCTAACCTTCGTCTCTCTTTTGTTTCCTCCCCAAAGCCCCATTACATAGTTGTATATCCTACTTGTAAGTCCTTCTTGTTCTTCTATGTGGGATGCCACCACAGCATGGTTTGATGAGTGATGTGTAGGTCTGCACCTGGGATCTGAACTGGCGAACCCCAGGCCGCTGAAGCAGAGTACGTGAACTTAACCACTATGCCACCAGGCAGGTCCCCCTGGTTCCTGAACTGACCCATCTCAGAGCCATTCTAACACACTCCTGGAGAGAAGCATCAGCCTCAGGATGACAGTGGAAGGTGGCTGAATCTGAATTCTGAAAATCTTCACTAGCCAGGACACAGACCTGACCCCAAAAGAAAGAATGGGGACAGGGATAAATAGAAAACCATACTTGTAGAAGTTTACATAGTTGCCTGAGTAAAAGTTACAGAATCCAAGCTAGAAAGCAATTCCTGTGAAAAAGATCTAGGAAGGAAGACTGATTTCAAGTTCAGTATAATCCTAGGGTATACTAGGGCTATCAAAAACTTAGGACATGTTAACAGAGATATAGCATGGGGGCCGAGGGAGGTGATGAATGTCCAACTACCAGAGAAAGTTTGTAGAAGAGGCCAGCCAGGCTGTAACAGATGTGGGAGCAGTAACCTGAGACTCATCACCATGCTGCTGCTGAGGGCTGGACTCAGTACCTGCACCTTGCTCAGTGCTTCACTGCATCCCCTCTGTTCACCCTCACAGGATTATTACCCCGCAGGTAAGGAAAAGACCTCGTGGCCAGTAAGTGCCAGAGCCAGGACTGGAAAACCAAGCCAGGGCTCCTAGACTCTGAAAGAAGGAAAGGTAGGCATGCCTGAAAATATGGGTGAAGAAGGGGATGGCTCAGGGTGGGTCTGGGGGGTTGCTTACAACCCTGTCCTCACACAGTTACGGTCTCGTCCTGTAGAAAGGGGAAGAGATTGTGTATGCATTGCTCCAGAGGGTGGGACCAGCGCCCTCTAGAAGGCAGATTTCATTCCATTCAAGAAGTCAGACTGTCAAGGGAGAGAGGCTGCCCCGGAGGGAGAGTGCTCCAGGGTGAAGTGTCAGAGGTTGGGCAAGCGTGTACTGCACTGCAGGCCAGGAGAACCAGCCGGACCCCTGCTTAGCCGACAGGTCTGATCAACAGGGTCTTTCGGAGAAGCACATTCTAGATGTGAAGAGTTTTAGTTCAGTAAATCAAAACTTGGCCGTCCAGAAGACACATAGCTGTTTTCCAAGGGTTTCTCTGAATTCTCCCCAGGGACACTGTTCATGGCATCTCTGCCTCTGGATCCTGGGGCTGTCCTGAGTAGTGCAAGGCCTCTTACAGGACACCATAAGCAAAACAGAACATTATATAGTATGTGTATACATTATGCTATTAAATACATGAGTTAATATGAATTAGATATTATATCAGATATGCATATATAGGTATACAGACATCCCAACTCATTTGCCAAGGGAACAAGGCCAAATGAATTACAGCCTTTCTGTGTGAAATGAAAGAGGAACCTGTTTCTTCGTGCCCCAGGAGTACCATCTGACCATCAGACCACAGGATGGGGTGTGTGTATACATAGCAGGTCACAACTAGCTCCTGGTGAGGACACACAGAGCACACATACAGAGGCTCAAGTAATTTAATAATGCTTCAATAAATATTAACTATTTTAAAATATTAAATTAAATATTAGAATAAACATTCAAGTAATAAATACTTTTATAAATACTAATAAGAACACAGTACCAAATATGGGCAAGTTTTAGTAAAAGTGAGTCTGTTTTCTTTTCATCCAAACTGAATCTGTGAAACATTCATAAGATGTAAATTAAAGTGCAGCCACTTCTGGGGTCCAACAGTTTCTTTTTGTCTCAGGGGTAGGCGGCATCAGTTGTTGAGAAGCCTTGCTCCTCATCTCTATTTTTGGTAGGAAAGCAGGATTTAAGGGGAGGCAAGTCGGCTGCCCTTGCAGGATGCCTGGCGGGGGACACATGGAATTCCACAGAAATAGTGGACCACGGTGAGAACATTCAGTCAAGGACGATCCCACCTGAAGATCGCGCTAGTGTCAGGCCAGGCCTGTGCAGAGCTGCCAGTGGCTAGAGCTGTGTCACCTCCTATTGAGGACTGTCTCTAAACTCCACACTGCTCTACGCAACACACGTTGTGAGTGTAATTACCCAGCAGATGCAGATTCGTCTCCAGGCGGATGGCAGACTGAAAGAGGAGCTCCTCACGGTTGTCCAGGGAGGATTCTGCTTCCAGGTGGCTTTGCAACCAACAGGCATACTCTTCCTTACTCAGAACCTATGTGAGACACACTAATGAGTGCCCACAGGCACTGAGCACTGCTAGGGCACCGTCAGTGTGCCACTCACAGAGCGGCCCCCACTTACCCTCTTGGCGATGCACAAGGTGCGCAGGCCTTCCACCGCATACAGGTTCAGGTAATTCTGAGTCATGCTTTGGATTTTCTTTTGATGCCTTCCTCTGGCATCGTCTAGGTTGGAATAGAAGCAGAAACATGGATGAGTAAGAACAACAGAGTCCAGAGATCTCGTCAAAATGGCGGAGGTAGCAGACTCTGAACTCATCTCCTCCCATGAACACAACCAGGTTATAACTATTTTTGGAAAAATTACCATGGATAGAAAACTGGAAACTGGATAAAAAGAACCCCCACAACAAGGGACAGTGCTGACTAAGGTGGAAGAGGCAGAAATTCCTTCTGGAGAGAAAAAAAGCCTCCTTCTGGAGCAGAAAACTTTCTCAGCCAGCCAGGCAGGAGCCACCCTAAGGTACGCAGCCCTCTCTGGAGGAGTGAGGCCTGGAGCGAGGGCCAATACTGCTATAAGCACCCTTCACACTCAGCACAACTGAGATGAGCATCTTAATATCTGGCTTCGGCGGCCATTAACTGCAGCGGGGATACCCCCAGAAAAGCTACTGGATGAAAGCCAAAAAGACCCGGGCCTTAAAGGGCCCATGCACAAACTCACCCATCTCAGCAACCTAAAATCATCAGAGAGAAGGATGACAGTCCTGGTGAAAAAAGACTCACCTGGTGGGCTCTGAGTGCCTGTTGGTGAGAGGAGAGACCTCTCCCGAGACTGAGACATTGGTGATGGCCATTGCTGTGACCTGGTCCAGGCATGCTGACACAGACCCTGGCAGACGCCATTGGAGTTTTTCCCCTGGCCTATTATCCCAGGGGTCTGCCACACCCACTAGAGCACAGATTTAATCCAGTTCAGCCAGGCCAGGCAGCCCATCTTAGGGACCAGCCTGGCCCAACAGCAAGCCCTCAGGCTACTTGTTGGCTTGCACTGACTGGGTGCCTTGATCCTCTACAGGCAGGTGAGTGCGTCTGCCTCTGTGGGGGAGGGCCTGTGTGGGGGCCAGGTGAACTGTGGGGGATATTGCTGGAGAGGTGGGGGCCTCTGCAGTGTGGCATCAGGGTATGCTCCAGGGGGGTGGGAAGTGTGGACGGACCAGGACTGTACTGACAGTTTGTGTGGTCCTGTGGGGGGTGAGGCTTATCAGTGGAAGAAGACCTGTGCTTCACAAATAACCATAAAAAGGATCAGCCCCACCTTCCAAACCTGAAACAATTGGGTGTTCCCATGCCTAGGGCCAGCCCCACTCAGCTGCACTCCTGAGAGAACTCACAGCAGCCTTGTAGGCCTGAGGTCTATAGGAACTATAAGCCCATGAGCCTAGCAACCAGCTACACTGGGTACCTACTCAAATAACAGGAAAATGGCAACAAGAGTGTGCTGTTAGACCTAGTAGACAATGGTGCAGAGGCTCCCCAAACTGGATTTACAAACAGCCTGCCAGGGAGGGAAAGACTAGAATCCGTGGGTACCTGCATTAAGAGCAACCCTGCTACAGCAGAAGAACACAACTAGCCCACAAAGGGGTCACTCCTGGATCATTTGGACTGGTGATGAGAGGGAAGCACACTGCCGGGCCTCAAAAGGCAACTCTTACATAAGGCCACTTCTCCAAGATCAGGAGACACAGCTGACACACCTAATACATAGAAATAAGCACAGAGAAAGAGGTCTAATGAGGAGACAAAGGAATACATTCCAAGCAAGGGAACAGGACAAAACCCCAGAAAAAGGACTAAATGAAACAGAAATAAGCAACCTACCTGAAAAAGAGATCAAATAAAAACTAATAAGGATGCTCACAGATATTGGGAGAAGACTGGATGAACACAGTGAGCTCATCAACAAAGAACTGGAAAATATAAAAATGAACCAATCAGAAACAAAGAATACAATACTGGAAATGAAAAATTCACTAGAGGGACTCAATAGCAGAGTAGAGGATACAGAAGAACAGATTAGCGAGCTAGATGAAAGACTAGAGGAAATCACACAAGCTGAACAGAAAAAAGAAAAAAGAAATAGATAGAATGATAACAGTCTAAGGGAACTCTGGGACAATGTCAAGTGCACTAACATTCGGATTACAGGTGTCCCAGAAGGAAAAGAGAGAGACAAAGTGGTAGAAAATTTATTTGAAGAAATAATAGCTGAAAATTTTCCTAACCTAAGGAAGGAAACAGACATCCAAGTACAGGAAGCACAGAGAGTTCCAAACAAGATAAGCCCAAAGAGGCCCACACCAAGACACATTATAATTAAAATGTCCAAAATTAAAGATAAAGAGAGAATCCTAAAAGCAGCAGGAGAAAGGCAACAAGTGACATACTAAGGAAAGCCCATAAGACTATCAGCAGACCTCTCAGCCAAAACCCTACAGGTGAGAAGAGAATGACATGACATATCTAAAATGCTAAAAGGAAAAACCTACAGCCAAGAATACTCTATCCATCAAGGTTGTCATTCGGAATGGAAGGAGAGATAAAGAGCTTCCTAGACAAGCAAAAATTAAAGGAGTTTATCACCAAGAAACCAGTTCTACAAGAAATGCTGAAGGGACTTATTTAAGCGGGAAAGCGATGACCACAAATAGGGATACAAAAATTATCAACCCCCCCCCCAAAAGAAAACAGGCAATAAAATCACTAGTAAAGGTAAAAATATAGTAAAGGTAGTAGATCAACCATCTGTGAAGATAATATGAAGGTTAAAAGACAAAAGTACTAAAATTACTTATTTCAATGATAAGAGGGTAATGGAGAGACACACACAAAACAAGAGATTACATATGATAACAAAAACATAAAATGTGGGAAGAGGGGAGTGAAAAAGTAGAGCTTTAGAAAGAGGTCAAGCTAAAGAGTCTATCTACTCAATGTAGACTGTTATAAAGATAGAATATTATATAGGATCCTCATAGTAATCACAAATCAGAAACCTATAATAAGTAAGCAAATAAGTAAGACAAAAGAAATCAAACATATTACTAAAGAAAGCCATCAAACCACAAGGGAAGAGAGCAAAGGAAAAAGAAAGTAACAGAGAAGAACGACTAAAACATCCAGAAAAAAAAGTAACAAAATGGCAATAAATACACATTTATTAATAGCTACATTAAATGTCAATGGACTAAATGCTCCAATCAAAAGGCACAGGGTAGCCAACTGGATAAAAAAACAAGACCCATGTATATGCTGCAAACAAGAGACACACTTCAGACCTAAAGACACTCACAAACTGAAAGTGAATGGATGGAAAAAGATATTCCATGCAAATGGCAAAGAAAAGAAAGCAGGCGTAGCAATACTTATTTCAGACAAAATAGACTTTAAAACAAAAACTGTAACAAAGGACAAAGAAGGGCATTACATAATGATAAAGGAAACAATCCAAAAAGAAGCTATAACACTTGTAAATTTCTATGCACCCAACAGACGAGCACCTAAATATATAAAGCAATTATTAACAGACAGAAAAGGAGAAATAGACAGTAACACAATAATAGTAGGGGATTTGAACACTCCACTTACACCAATGGATAGATCATCCAAACAGAAGATCAAAAAGGAAACACTGGCCTTAAAGGACACATTTGACCAGATGGACTTAGTGGATATATATAGAGGATTCCACCCCAAAACCACAGAATACACATTTTTTCAAATGCACATGGAACATTCTCCAGGATTGATCACATATTAGGCCACAAAACAAGTCTCAATAAATTTAAGAACATTGAAATAATACCATTCATCTTTTCTGACCACAAAGGTACGAAACTAGAAATCAACTACACGGAGGCAATCAGAAAAGCCACAAAAATGTGGAGATTAAATAAAATGCTACTGAACAATGATTGGGTCAATGAAGAAATCAAAAAATTCCTGGAGACAAATGAAAACGAAAATGCGACATGCCAAAATCTATGGGATACAGAAAAGCAGTTCTAAGAGGGAAGTTTATAGCAATTCAGGCCTACCTCAACAAAGAAGAAAAATTCAAAATAAACAATCTAACAGTGCATCTAAAGGTACTGGAAAAAGAAGAACAAACAAAGCCCAAAATCAGCAGAAGGAAGGAAATAATAAACATCAGCAGAAATAAATGAAATAGAGACTAAAAAGCAATAGAAAGAATTAATGAAACCAAGAGCTGGTTCTTTGAAAAGATAAACAAAATTGACAAACCCTTAGCTAGACTCACCAAGAAAAAAAGAGAGAAGGCTGAAATAAATATAATCAGAAATGAAAGAGGAGAGATTACAATGGACACCTCAGAAATACAAAAGATAATAAGGGAATACTATGAAAAGCTACATGCCAACAAATTGGATAATCTAGAAGAAATGGATACATTCTTAGAAACATACAACCTTCCAAAACTGGACCAAGAAGTAGAGAATTTGTATAGACCGATCACCAGTAAGGAGATCAAAACAGCAATCAAAAACCTCCCAAAAACCAAAAGTCCAAGACCAGATGGCTACCCTGGTGAATTCTACCAAACATTCAAAGAAGACTTAATACCTATCCTTCTCAAACTCTTCCAAAACTTTGAAGAGGAGGGGAGGCTTCCTAACTCATTCTACGAAGTCAACATTATCCTGATACCAAAACCAGACAAGGACAACACAAAAAAAGAAAATTACAGGCCAATATCACTGATGAACATCAATGCAAAAGTTCTCAAGAAAATACTAGCAAATGGAATATAGCAATACATTAAAAAGATCATAAGTCATGATTAAGTGGGTTTCATTCCAGGGATGCAGGGATGGTTCAACATCTGTAAATCAATCAACATGATACACCACATTAACAAAATGAAGAATAAAAACCACATGATCATCTCAATAGATGCAGAGAAAGCATGTGACAAGATACAGCATCCATTTATGATAAAAACGCTAAATAAAATGGGAATACAAGGAAATCATCTCAACGTAACAAAGGCCATATATGGCAAACCCACAGCAAATATCATTCTCAATGCAGAAAAACTGAAAGCTATCCCTCTAAGTACAGGAACCAGACAAGGATGCCCACTTACCCCTCTCTTATTTAACATAGTATTGGAAGTCCTAGACAGAGCAATCAGGCAAGAA